GGAGCAGAGATTCCCCACAGCCCCTGGTGCAGACCATGGTGACACACGTCCCTGTGCCACTCACGGAGAGCAGAGCTCGCCTGCAGCCCATGGGGACGGAGCTGTGGAGGACCCCATGCTGGAGCAGGCGGATGTGCACGAAGGAGGGTGTGACTCCATGGAAGGGACCCACGCTGGAGCAGTCAGTGGAGAACTGCAGCCCGTGGGAAGGTCTGACCCCATGCTGGAGCAGGGCGGGCTGTGAGGAGCCCTCCCCTGCGGAGGAAGGAGACAACATGGACTGACTGCAGCCCCCATTCCCTGCCCCTTGCGCCGCCGGGGGGAGAAGGCAGAGAAACCAGGAACAAAGGCTTTGGGCCCAGGGAGAAGGGAGGGGTGGGGGAGAGGTGCTTTTTTAAGACATTGTTCTCTTTCTCATGATCTCATTCTGCTTTTGATAAAAATTCAATTGTTTTTGTGTTTTCTCCAAGTCAAGAGTGTTTCTTGCCCCTGCTCATAAGTGGTGAGTGATCCCTCCCTGTCCTTGCCTCAGCCCACGAGGGTTTTACCTTTAGTTCCTCTGATTCCCCCCCTCAACCCAGTGAAGGGAAGGAGCGAGTGAGCAGCTGTGTGGTGCTTAGTTGCCAGGTGGCCTTAAAACCACGACACACGAGCATTCTGAGGCTGAGCTGGAGACATCCTACAGCACAGCTCAGGACAGGGACTGGAAGCCCAGCGCTGAGCTGAAATGGGGCTCCTGGGCCACAGGCAGGGAGTGGATGAATGCCCCAGGTGAGGCTGGTCAGGGCCACAAAGACATCAGTGCTCTCAGGTCCCCGAGAGGCTCAGGTTGTTGGGTTAGGCCATGCTCCTTGCCCAAGCTCCTGCTATCTCCTTCAGTTCCTCGCTGGAGATTCCCTGTGGCTCCTGAAGCAGGACAGCATGGGCCAGCTGCCAAATTGCTTCTCCCATGCAAGAACACCCCACAAAACAGTGAAGAACAACAAACCATGAACATGCGATCACTTTTTTTAAAAATTTAATAGTGAAATATCGACAGTGCAATAGCCAGATGTGAATGGCAAAGGCACAGCTGCACCCTGTTGCCTGGGATGCTGGGCAATGGGCTCTGCACCCAGAGGGCTGCGATGGCGTGTTTCTGCTCTGGGCTCCAGCTCTGTGGGTTAATGGTGAAGGAGGAACCAAAGCCTCAGCAGAATTCACAAGGCACAGGCAAGCAGATGGCACGTGTGAGAGTGGCACCTACCAGCCTCCTTGGAAAGCTCCTGGATTTGGGCATTTGCTCTTGCTGGCTCTCGGCACAGAGCAACAGCCGGAGTCCTGCTGACTGCCCAGGCAGGCTCTGTCTACGGAGATTTTGGGTTTTTCCAGGGAATGCAGCAAGGCAGAATTTAGCCCCCCAATACAGAGCATCTAGGCACAAAGCGCAGGAGAACCTAGACCAGTTTCTGCCAGATTTGCAGCCTAGTTTCCATGCATTACCTTCATTGCTGATCACAGTAACCATACATGACACCCATGGTCTTGCCATGAGCCACAAATTGTTACAGCCAACCGTGTACCCAGGGCACTGCTGGAATCCAGGGGCTACCAAAGCAGGATCTTACATCCTTGATGTACAAAGTTGTTGTCAGTCTAAGTGATTTGATCACCAGGATAGTCTCTCTGCTTTCCAAGTAGGTGCTCCATGAGGAACTCACTCATGCAGGAGCTCGGTGGGCTTGAGGAAGCCCACAGGTATGGCAAGGGCACGGTGGGCAGCTAGAAGCCTTGCTGCCCTGCCTGATGCTGGAGAGAGCGGCAGCACGTGTCTGTGGGCTTTGCAATCTCACCTCTGATGCCATGCAGACATCGGGCAAGGCTCCCCTGGAGAGCTGGCGCCTGCACCAGCCCAAGCGATGGTGCAGAAGCAGCAGCAGGCCAGGCTGGGAAAGGACACTTCAGGCAATAAAAGGCCATGTGAAAAGCTTTTCATAGAACTACTCAAAAGGATAGCAGCAGAGAGAGACAAGGGCACTTCAAAAGCAGTTCTGGCAATCTTGGGTTCACACTCAGCTCGCTCATTGCAGCACAGGGACAAGAGCAAGTGTGTGACACCCTTTGATGCCCTCAACACAGAAGGTAAAAGAGGATCCCCAGGGCTCAGGCTCCGCTCCCTGTGCCAGTGCCCATATTTGTTATATTGATGGTGCCCGCCCAGCACCGCTGCCACCAGCCAGGCTGGGAAGGAGCCACCGGAGAGCCTCTGGCCACCTTCTGCAGCGGGCAGCGAGGTCCTCACCAGTCCAGACCCTCCTTCTGCGCCGGGAGCCTCCGGCTCTTCTCGCTGTAGAACTGCGCGTACCAGCGCCGGTGCTTCTGGATGCTGGAGTCCTCCCGCACCAGCAGCGGCTTGGGCAGGTACTGTTTGTTGTTCCAGATGGTTATATCGCGCTCAAACTGGGGAGAGAAGGAGGGTTCAGGTGAGGAAGATGAACCGGCAGTTCTGTGCGTGCTACCTGACACGAGGGGTTTTTTTAGTGTTTCTCCCAAATGGCTGGTGTAGGACTGCCCGGGCTGTTTGTAAAGCTGCAGCTCTGTCTGCGGTCAGGAGATGTTTACCCCACCATACCTCCCAAAAAAAGAAGCCAGTCTTATCTTAGACTGCCTTTGTCGCAGGATATACTGGAAAAGAAATGGATGGTGTGTAGGAAGGAGCTGCTCCACCTGAGATTTTTTGATTCTTTGGGTAGCTCCCACCAACCAGGGCTTTGTAAGTTCAGTGTCTGCATCTTAAACTCTGCTCAGACACACATCCAGTAAGACTGATGGAGTTTTCCTCTGGGAAGAGGTCGCTGCAGAAGTGAGTGCTGCTCATTCACATTAGTAAGAATGCCAAACATTAAGCCAGCATTTATACAGTGTGAGTTAGCTCAGCCACACGTCACTTGGGGTAAGTTTTTGGCATCTGAAAATCATCTTTTGGTGATTTTTACGGTAGTACCAGTGCATCTCTGGTCAGACCAGTTTCGAAGCTTTAACCCCTGACAGCAGTGAATGACATGAACTATTCTGACTGTTTCAAAGGTTCAGGGATGACGGAGACAGATTTCTCTTGGTAGTGCCAGCTGGCATAACAAGGAGTGACAGCCACAGATTGCAGGTTGAGCAGTTCAAAATGGACATTAAAAATAGAAATCAGCAGTGTGGGTAGAGCAGTGATGGAATGGGTCACCCAAGGAGCTGGAGAGATGGGGGCATTTGCCAAAGGAGGCTGACCTGACCTTGGCAATAGTCTCGCCTCAACTGGGATATTGGACTGGAGGCCTCTAGAGGGACCTTCCACCACTTCTGTGAATGCCTGTGGTAAGGACCTGGAAAACCTCTGACAGGCAGGGCAAGAGTTGCCAAATCTCATGATAATTTAACAGGCTGAGGATTTCTGGGTGCTGTTCTTACTGAAGGAGATAGATAGACTGGTCACCAGCCTGGGATGCTGAAAATCCCGGATGCAGTTATTAGTTCTGTCCAAGACTTCCTGCAGGTTGGGAGGGGCTGCCTAATCCTTGTGGCCCCATTCGCCATCCAGACACGAACAGGCACCTCTGCTGTTGTCAACAGATAACCCACTGCAGGGACCCTCTTTATGAACCCTCTGGTTTAGCTCTTTGGGCTGCTGAAACTGAAGATCGTGCCAAGCACTGGGAGGATCTTGCCCATGAGTGCTTTGCCCCCACATGTATCTGAGCCCACCTGGGCAACCTCCTCACAGCTCCCACCCACCGAGCCCCAGGGGAGCAGGACTGGCGGCTGTTCTCCAGAGCCCTTACCTGTATGCACTCTGCTCGCAGGATGAACTTGGGGATTATGGCTGGCACGTTCTTCTGGTAGTAGATTTTGTGGACAACATTCTGCAGGAGAGGCTCCAGGGGGGTCACCGTCTGCAGGATGATCCCGCGGCCCAGGAAAGCATGTTCAAAGATCAGGAAAACCAGCCCTGGTCCCACCTGCAGAGCAACAGAGAACAGGGACCAGTCCCCAAAGGTCCAGCCCACTGGTGCAGCAGCTCCCACCGCTTGAGACCTGCTGAGATGTCTCCTAGCCTGTGCTCAAGTCCCCCTTTACTCTGTCTTTCATCAGATAAAAAGCACGAAGTCAAGCTACACCTCATGGCCACCTGTTGGTGCTCCCAGGCCAGGGGACATCCAGCAGAGCCGTGCAGCCCATACCGGCCTGGGACATTCACAGATGTGTCAGGGCTGGATGGCTTTGCTGTGGGCCCATGGGAGTTCGTGAGGGTCTACAGCGCTCTACTGGTCCCAAAAAGTTTAAAACCTAATCTTCTAGGAAATGCTTCCAAAATTTCACTTGGTCTTGTCCATCACTGAATTACCTTCCAGTCATCAACAGCCTTTTTGGCTTGTTGATACCAGGCCTGGGCTCCAATCTCAGCAGCAGCGATTGCAATACAATGTGGAGGTGATACAGCATCCCTGCTCCTGCTCTGGTTTCTCATTTGCAGCTACAACAATCCCATTAGCTTTTGGCTGAAATCAGGTTCGGCCTTTTTTCTTGCAGTACATGATGTACTTGGTCTGTGCTTTTTGACATGCACCCAGACATGCAGATACATGGTCATGCACTTGGTTCTTTGAAGCAGTGCAGACATTGCTGGGGTTTTCAGCTACTTTATTTACTGCTCCTTTAATGTTTAGTTGGGTACAAGCTCTCTGTAAGGTTATTTTAATGTCTTTTTTCTCCTCTTCTCTGCTGTCCCTGCCGAATAGCACAGATCTAAGAACTGAAGAGAGATACAATCAACATCCACTTTGTGATAATTCCCTTATTACAGTAAGGTCTAGCCTTTATCAAAGTTTTGTATCATGTCTTGTTTTGCTGTTGTTCTGTATTTGTAATATGGGAATAGGTCAAATGCCTTCAAAAATGTCCTACAAGAAGTTACTAGTTTTATCAGGCAAGCTTAGCATTTCATGAAAAAACAAACAAACAAACAAAAAAAAAACAAAAAAAAAGACCACAAACCCACAACCAAAAACGAAAGTGAGATCTGGTTCCCATCGATTAATGTTTAGTGGCGTTATTTCCATTTTCCTTTAATTCCCCTCATTCAGGGCTGATCTTGGGCTCCACACCACACTGTTGCTGTTTGCCTTTCCCAGGCGTGTTCACGGTGGACTGAGAAGATCCCCACATCTGAATGGTGAAGAGCTGTGACACCACGGTGCAAAGGTCCCTCAGGATTGTCACCACTGTCTGCTCAGGTACCGGCTTTTTATTTTTTGCAGTTGTTCCGTGGGCACAGCAGTCCTTAGGAACCCTCCCTCCTCTCCACGCTGCCCAGCTGTGGAGCACCCAGTGCCAGTGGGTGGTTTTTGGCCTCTGTGCCCGATGCACTGGGTAGGAAGGGCTACGCTGGGCAGGGTGGGCAGGGGCTCACTTGATCTTTGATGTGACAAAGCCCTTCAGCTTGGGGTGCTGGTGTCACCAGCACGGGACGTACCTGCCTGGCTGAAACCGTCAAATCCATCAAGGACACATGCTTCCCGAAGATGGTTGCGCTGTGCTGAACCAGCAGCCGGGAGCAATGCTCGTTGGGCTCCGGCTCCGGCCGCCACTCCGCCTGGAGGGGTGGGGAAGGATCAGCTCAGTCTGGGAGATGGGGAGAAGGGAGTACAGCCAAGGGGAGGTGGCAGCGAGACGGTGACCAGAGCTGGCTGTGCAGCCCATCCAGAGATGAGCACAGATGAGGGAGTGCAGCTCAGACCCTCAGAGAGACAGAAGAAGAGAGACTGGACCCAAAAATGGGGGGATGCAGCAGAGGGGGTGAGGTGGGACTGATGGTTTGAGGCAGAAAGGAGACCTGGTTTAAAAGACTTGAACCTCTTCATGGCTCAGAGGGGAGCTGGGGTCTTACCTTCCAGACGTGCTTCATGAAGTCCCACAGCTTGGACCTCGTGTACCTCAGATCGGATCCACCCAGAATAGCTGGTCCATGGAGAAAAGCCAGGTGAGCCGTGTCGGCCGCATTCTCGGGGATTTCCTGTCGTTGGGAGACAATTTGCCATTGGCGAGAGCTGCTCGTGTGTACCAGCAGGATTGCAGCAGCCCGGCAGGACAGCCCAGTGCCCACCGCTTCCAGCACAGCGGCGATGCTCACAGGGACGTGACACAGCAGGAGGCAACCAAGCGAGTGGAGGAATGCACCTCAGCACACACTGACCTGGGACTAGTTCTTAACTAGTGTATAGGAATAATTTAAACATGAAGCTCAGAAAATTCAGGGTAAATTTTAATCTCAAAGAAGTCCATGCACGATAACTTCTGCAGCTGCACAAGCTGGGACTCCAAACAAGTCCTTCCCTTGACCCTGTAATAACTGTAAGGAATAAAGCATTTTTGTGTTTGTGTTCCTGGACTAGTTGCCACATATTTTTAAACCTTTAAACCCCACCGGCCTGCCTGCAATATATCACTTTTTCAGAAGTTTCAACTGCTTTATCACTCCAATACACCAGCTTTCCACCACCTGGGCAAGCAGCACAGCCTGGCCCCAGCACAGTGGCTTGTGCTGAAAAGCAGACATGAAATAAATATTACTGTGCCATCAATCTCCCAAATTCTCCCTGCTTGTTATAACTGCTCTGCACGCTCCCAGAGCTCTGTCTCCTGTGTCTCTTGCACCTTCTTCATTTCTTCTAATAATTCTTCATTTCTTTCTAACCCACTCACCCCAGTCGTGACTTACTCAGCAGGCGCTGCCCTTGGAGAGAAGTGTGCTTTAGATGAAGGATCATTTTTGCCACTGATTTTTACAAATAGAACTGTTCTGCTCATTCGGAAGTGTATAAAAATCTCCAAAGGTCCCAAATCCTAAAGGACTGCCCATTTTCAAAACTGCTGCTGCCTCCCATCGCTCTCCCCGCAGTTGCCCCCGGCCCCTCCGAGGACCACGGCTGCGGCTCCTGCTGCTCAGTGCCACCAAACGGTTCCCCTTTTCCGGACTCATTTCCACTAAGAGGTGATGGAGGCAACAGCCGTTCTGTTCTCTGTGGCACGTTTGTCAGTGTGTGACGGTGATTATGAAGATTAACAGCAAAATAACTGCGTTTCCATTTTGATGATGGATGCCAGCCTCCTGACACTAAGTGCCGCGATTTCTAGAGAATCTTTTTAAAAATTACATCAGTTATAAGTCAAAGCAAATTAACAGATTCCCTGTAAGTACCCAGAACATCTGCTCTTTACTCGAGAAGCCCACGATCCGTGTTTGGGGAACATATGCTATATTCTGAGCATGCAGCACAGGGCTGTATTTCTAGGTCTGAGCTCTACTGGCAGCAGCGATGGCACTGGACGCAGGCAGAGCCCCTTTAATTGGGAAGAAGATGTCCCCGAGTGGGCTAACTGGGAGGAGATGTCCTTGAACTGGACTGAAGGAGAGCACCCATGCCCCATGGAGGGACCAGGCTCCCTACCTGGATGTGCACATCCACCAGGTGCTCGGTCTGCCCGCGGAACACCCACTCCTTGGTGGCGATCTCCCGCTGCTCGGGCACTGCCCATGTCGGCCCGACCCCTTCGCAGTGGTACCAGACCAGCAGCATCCCGTTCACCTCGCAGGACGGCCAGGTCTGGACCTTCGCAAAATCTGGCACTGAGGAGGAGAGATAGGAATCGGTTAAAAGTGGCATCTCCAAGGCTGGTGCTAAGGGTCCCCTCATCCTGACCCACGGCTCAGAGATGGTCTTTATTTATAAGCTGAGAGAGGGGAGATTGAGATGAGATGTGAGGAAGAAATGTTTTCCTGTGCGGGGGGTGAGGCAGTGGCCCAGGTTGCCCAGAGAAGCTGTGGATGCCCCATCCCTGGAGGGGTTCAAGGCCAGGCTGGATGAGGCTTTGGGCAACCTGGGCTAGTGGGAGCTGTTTTTGCCAAGGAGTTGGAACTTGCTGGTCTTTAAGGTCCTTTCCCATCCAAACCATTCTGTGATTCTATGATTCCTGTGGCACAGACTCTCTGGTGACACTTTTCCAGCTTTCAGGCTGATGAAGAACAACAGCTTCTGAAGTTCACAGAAGAGAGCCCGCTTACATCGGTTTTATTGCAGTTGGGCGGTTTACACAAGATTTCAAGGAAGAAGCACGGCTGGCTGCTCTGCAGCCCCTTTCACTGCTCTTCAAACTGTTCAAATAAGTAAAAATCTGATGCATCAATGGACCCTCCTCGAGTTCCAATGAGCCAAAAGGAGATGCCTTTAGTCATAGATGTGCAGAGACTAAAAGCCATCTCTGCCTCTTGAATTCAAGTCATTGTTGATGCAATATCGTGTGTTGCTTTAAGAATATGTCTGCACTGTTTCCAGTTAAATGAATTTTAGCATTTATATTTACCCAATTGTCAGAAAATGTAGCTTCTACTGGGCTGGGAGGCTTTTGCCTTCATTACTGTTTTATCTAATTTGCAAACAAGCACAGGGGATAGCGCTTCCGTATTATTCAGCCTGGTACAGGGATGTGGGAGGTGAGAAAGCCGGACAAATTCTGTTTCTCTTTTAGTCATGAACATCAGAGGGTGCAGGAGGAGACCATCAGTGCAGTTACTGATTGAAAAAATCTGGTGTTTTGGGTGGGATGCGTCTCATAAAATTTTAAAGACAGCTTCATCTGCCCCCATGCAGACATAGAACCATTGAATCATTTAGTTTGGAAAAGACTTAAGATCATCAAGTCCAACCATAAACCTAACGCTGCCCAGTCCACCACTAGACCACGTCCCGAAACACCACGTCTATATGTCTTTTAAATCCCTCCAGGGATGGTGACTCCACCACTTCCCTGGGCAGCCTGTTCCAATGCTTGACAACCCTTTCGGTGAAGAAATTTTTCCCAATATCCAATCTAAACCTCCCCTGGCACAACTCTTTTTGTCCTATCGCTTGTTACCTGGGAGACTGACCCCACCCTCACTACACCCTCCTTTGAGGCAGTTGCAGAAGGCGATAAGGTCTAACCACCCCCAGTTCCCTCAGCTGCTCCTCATGGGACTTGTTCTCCAACCCTTCCCCAGCTTCATCCAGCACCAGGTCAGACTCCAAGGCTCTGCTGGTGTGTTGGTTCTCTGTGAGCCTGGTGCGGGAGGAGCTGCCCATCAGAGCTCTCCACAATCCCTCTCCACCAAAGTCACCTGCATGCACAGATGGCTTGTGAATCTGTTCAGAACAGCGCGACCCGTTTGGGCTGGCTGGGAGCAGGGCAGCTGTCTGCAGTTTTGTTCTTTCAATAACTCCAGATAACTACAACCCTGAATGCAGCCGTTTCAGATGAAACAATGCATCTTGGCAAGCGTTTGCATATGTCCAGAATATTCATTCTCATTTTCTGATGAAACACAGCACTGCTTGTTACTTAGAACCAAATTTTCATGTGAGTGCAGCCCCTGAGTATGTATGGGGAAAAAAATGCTGTGTTAATCTTTTTTTCTGATAATAACACACATACAACAAGAATTGCTGTTTGGTGAGATCTATCGATTGTTTATCTTGTCCCATAGAGATGGAATGGTTTTTTTCACTTTGGGAAAAATAGTCTGGTAGAAAGACTGACTTTTGCTGCTAATTATGTTTTTTTCATTGCTATCCCAGTCAGAGAAAGATGAACTTCTCAGGAAAATAACCAAGAAGCACAAGCCAAAGAAAAACGCGAGGTAAGTCTGTTTTCTGGTTTCAGCCACATCTAGAATTGGTGGCTTAAGCTAATTAGCGCAGGCAGATGAATTGTTACATGTGAATTTTAGGCAAGATATTCTTCCGACACAGTCGATGCAAACCATATCTAAAAGGTAGGTGTATGTGAAGCTTTCCTGGATTCTCACCAAAAGTTCCCTTCAAGCCTTAAAAGCAGAAAAAATTGCCATTGAGAGACTATTCTGTCATGCTAATGCAACAGATTGAAGCACTGACGCGGTTTGGGCTGTCACTGTGGAGGACAGAATCACTTCTGAAAGCCCACAGCTCCTCAGGATCCGTCCCTGCTGGTGCCATGGATGACTCAGAGTGAAAAACCTTCTGTTACACCATGCATGCTGCGTGCAGGAGCTGTAGGACTGTCAAAATCGAGAAGAGTGGTTATTTACCCAAAGTCCCGGTAAACATCTAACTTAGGACAGGGCACTGGAGCATTGTGAGCCAACGTGGACAACCCAGGAGGAAAATGAGGGTGCTGCATGAAATAGGGGAGCAGGATGAGGCAGTGGCCCAGGTTGCCCAGAGAAGCTGTGGATGCCCCATCCCTGGAGGGGTTCAAGGCCAGGCTGGATGAGGCTTTGGGCAACCTGGGCTAGTGGGAGGTGTCCCTGCCCATGGCAGGGGGTGGGACTGGATGGGCTTTAAGGTCCCTTCCAACCCAAACCATTCCGTGATTCTAGGATGGAGGGTGAGTTTTGATTAAGATGACTTTTCCTTAATGAAGGAGCTTTTAATGAGGACACACCAGGCACTACCGTTTCTGCAGATGCTTTCAGCAGATTTGGGGGATGTTCACCTTTTTCAGCATATGGGATGCTGATGCATTTTCCATCTTCTCCTCGAAACTGCCAGCCATGAAACGGGCACTCAATGCAGTTGCCCACGACGTGCCCTCCAGCAGCGAGGTTGGCCCCGAGGTGCGGGCAGTAAGCGTTGACCACGAAGGCTTGGCCATCCTGGGCACGAAACACAGCGAACTGTTCTCCTGTAGAAATACAAGGTAATGAGATTGTAAAAACATCCCCAGGTGAGGGGGTCAGGGAAGGCACATATTTCTCGGCCCCTTCTGAGCAGGTAGCACCATCCAGCACTTTTACCCGACATTGCAGTAACCTGCCTGTGCAAAGATGTGCAGAAATATCCTGCTAAAAATTAACACTGGAGGCTTTCTTTCCTTTCTAGTGGAAAGAACAATGGTAGGACAGAAATAGGGTTGCTTGGAAGAAGTGATTTAACCAGGAGATGGCAGCATGAATCTGCCAGAGCCGGGCCGGTGCCCAGGGCTGTGGTCAGGCTGCAGGCAGGAGGCGTTTGCTGCCTGCAAAAGGAGACACGCAGCACTGGGATGGCAGCTGCTCTAGCAAATGCCCAGGGTGATGGTGGCCATTGGCTCACTGCCCGGGTTTAAAAATCATCCCAGAGCAGTGAGCAGTTGTGCCAGGGCCAGTTGCAGCCCATGTTTCACCGCAGCAGGTTGACACCCTGCGGGGCCGGGCAGCTGCCGGTGACCCCAGGAGCTTCTGCAGCGGAGAAGTGTCCGTGTTGGAGGGCATCTCCGTGTTCTCGAGCATCATTGCTCTTGGTCACCTCTAAACTCTCGTGGCTTTGACCCTCAAGAGTTTTTGAGCTCTCGGAGCCTGTTTCAGCTGCAGGATAAAAGTTACAAGGGTGGTGAGGCGATTGCCCAGAGAAGCTGTGGATGCCCCATCCCTGGAGGGGTTCAAGGCCAGGCTGGATGAGGCTTTGGGCAACCTGGGCTGGTGGGAGGTGTCCCTGCCCATGGCAGGGGGTGGCACTGGATGGGCTTTAAGGTCCCTTCCAGCCCTGAAGCCTGGTGCTTTGCCCACCAAGGTTTTAAGACCATTTTACTCCAAGAAGGTCTCACCTCCAGAGCTTTTCTTCATACATGCAGTCTGGAGCTCTTCTGCCCTGAAGATCTGAATCAGTGCCCACAGCCAGACCCTTGCTGGGCCATCTGAAAAGCTCACCCGGGACTCCTGAGTGAGTACTGGGTTTACCTCCAGCCTTTGCATTCCAGAGCCAGCAAAGCCAGAGGAGAAGCTGATCTTTGCTCTGGCTTGTGCATCAAATCTGGTATCTCTCCATTTGGGAGGACAGTATCCTGCCCTAAAATATACTAAAAAACTCTGTTGCAGGTGAATATTAGAGCATTAACGGCCACATACTGATGTTTTCCTATTAAATTAGCTTGTTTCTTTTATGGAAAACAAACAGCAATTGTAGCAAGAATAGCACATGAGACATAAAGAGCTGCAAGGCCACCATGCAGCTCTGGGCACTTCCCTGGGAATGCGGAGTCTGGGACAGAGCAGCTCAGGGACCCGCTCTGGGGCTTTCCTGCACAGGACCCTCCCTGGAGTCAGAGCACCTTCCCCCCAGCAGGGACCTGGGCAGCGGTGCCACGCTGTGCCCCACAGATCAGAGCAGCTCTCACCCCACTTCCACAGTCTCAGGAGAGAATGAGGCTTTCCTGCGTGCTCAGTGCCATGTTTTGGAAGGTGTCTCCAACCAAAGGATGAGTCTTGCAGGCACTGAGCCAAGCAATTTTTATTCTTTCATCTCCTCTGGCTCGCTGCCTCTGGAGCAGGGCTGCATCTCCTGGCTATGCCCAGAGACTCTGAAATGAATTAGACACCCACAAACCTGGAGGCTACAGGTTGTTTAACTGCCTTGTTTAATGATTATCTTCCTGGCACTGGTACACTTCTGTCACTCAGGCATTAGAAGAGATTTTACCTGCACATCCCAACCAGGCCCAGAGGACTGGGTGCCAGGAACCAGGCTTTGGGCAGACAACCAAGGGAGTCATCACAGATAGGCTGGGGAGGCTCTCTAGCATGTGTACATAGAATTACATATGTCCCATTGTACACACACACACAAAAAAAAAAAAAAGAAAAAAAAAAGTAAACCCAAACAACTTCACAGGAAAATAGAAACCCCCACGCTTTCACCACTGAATCTGAGGGTTTCAATGCAGAAACATCCCTTCTGATGAGGAAAGCACCACCACAAGTCCAAAACCATCTTTAAGGAAAAAGGACCCTTGGACAAGCACAGCACGCCCCTGCACGTGGCTGCGAGGCCTCATCCTGGTCTTCCCAGGACACAGGGAGCTGCGGGGCAGCAAGGGGAGGAGAGCCCAGGCAGCAAGATGCTCTGGTGTCCCAGCAAGGAGCTGCCATGACGTCCCCAGTG